GTATGTAAGGTCCGAGGACAGCCGCCTAGGGCCTCTCTTTCCGGTTAGCTCTTCAGTCCTTATATCTCCCCTCCTTCTACTCAAGAGGAAGGCACAGCCAAATCACCAAACTTTTTATTTTCTACTCTCCTAGTGTCCCTATCCTACCGGTTCCTGCAGCCCACTGAACAAGACCCGTACTCCCTTGAACAGGCCGCGAACTACCCGACCCTTGAAGGAAGAGGAGGTATACGACATCTGGTGGAGAAGCAGGGGTAGTCTGCTAGCTGGAGAAGGTCTTGCTCCAAGTGAAGTCTCGCGGAGAACGTCAGAAGGAAGGACAAGATGTCGGCTACTAGCAACAGAGAAGATGAGAGCGCCACTGTCCGGGAAGAAGAAGGCCCGACCGAGAGTCTGCCTTCGAGAATGCGACCCAGTCTGTCGACTACGCAAGGCCTCCAAAACGTGCAGAATATCATAGACCAAGCGGCTAACCGACTTGGGGGGAACAACTCTTGTGCTGGTGTCGAGCCACCCGCGGACGCTTTGGGCTCCGGGGTCCCTGCGACCTTCACTTCGGAAGAGTTGGACTCGATGCTGACCCTGAACGGCGGAGGCGGCCGAGGTACGGTGCAAGGCTAGCTTAACTCCCTCAACTGGTTGAGATCCATGGCCCCTCCTGAAATTGCCGCCGCTATGGAGAGAACTGGTGGGAACGGTCTCGTGGGGACTCCCCCTCCTACGACTCGAGTAAGGACTGAAATCCCGTCGTACCAAGGTTTCACAATCCGAACCCCGAATACGTCATATGGGCAGGACTTCAACCCGTTCTTCTCCCTACCAACTGTCCCTGAAAACGGTGGACGTGCTTCCCCCGCAAGTATTCCTCCGAGGACCTCTAACGCTCCTCCTTGGGGTCTCCAGCCCTCGGGTAACTTGCGAGGTGGCGGGGAGAACGCTCCAGCAGTAACCGTTCCCGTTCCTCAGAGGGTTCCTTTCCAGACCTCGTCGCCTACCGTTCAAATTCCTACCCAAGGCCCGGGGTCTCGAGCTTCGATTACCAGTGGAGTCGCGTACGGAGTCGACCCTACGAGAACAACCGAGCTTCACAAGGAAACGGAGGAACTACGACTTCTGCCGGAACCCATCAGGGTCTTGCGTATGGGGAATATGGAGGTAACTCCTACTACTCCTCGCCTACGTATGGTAATACGCCTTCGACTACTAGTGGCCAGTATGGTATGCCCACTAACATCCGAAACGCTATTCGCATGCTCCAACCCTTTTACTCGGAAGGAGCGTCGGTGGAGAAAGCTAGATCCTTCTGGGAGGCCTTCGAGAACGCCACTATCGGGCTGGACGAACCCCTGCGTCTTAGCGCTTTCAGGGAGTGCCTGAAAGGCAAGGTCGGTGAAGATTGGTGGATGTACCCGCGCATCAACAGCTTTGAGGCTCTGAGAACTCGGTTCCACAACCAGTTCATCAGTCAGACCCCTTTGCAACTGATTGAGAACCTGAAGAACACTAAACGACCCAGGGGAATGTCCGCCGAAGTGTGGGGCGACATGATTTCAAGTCTCTGCGATGATGCTCAGTGCTACGACACTCAGATGCGTTACCAGTACTTCTTGTCTGGACTTCGGAACCGAGATTGGAGGAGCGCTCTCACCACGACAATGATTGACTCCATCCCTGCGGCTGTGGCCATGCTGCTCCTTAAGAATATGCACCGTCCGGTTGAAGACGACTCCGAGTTCGACAATGTGCCGTCCCCTAAAGCTTCCCAAGAGAACGCTGTCCTCGAACGCATGATGAACATGATGCAGCAGACGCAGAATCTACTCGCTCAGCAACAACAGCAACAACTTCAACAGCAACAGCAGTTGATGGAGCGTCCTCTGACGACCGCCTATGCTTCCCCAGCGATGAATGTAGCTGCTGCCTACTCTCCTCCTGATCCGAGCCCCTCTCTGCACTATCAACCTACCGGAACGCTTCCTATTACGCCTAGCAGGGGCGTTCGTGTGGGTCCGGACTTGCGAACCCAAGATGGTCTTCTCGTGTGCGGTCGGTGTCACACTCTGGGGTGTAGTCGAATTCACTGTCGCCGCGGCAAAGCCACCTGTCCTCACTGTAAGGAAGTGGGTCACATCGGTCCTGAATGTGAACGTGACCCTCCTAGCGGATTTCGGAGCACCCAGCCGAGGAACGGACGCAAGTGCTTCCTGTGTGATGAATCGGGTCATATGTTGGCGGAGTGCCCTCTAAAGACGTCACTGAAGAGACTTGGCGGTCCGACAGGGGCGACGGTGGGACCTGTCCTAGGACAAGCGCCCAACCAGCAATGATGGGGGCGAGAGGGAGGGGAAGGGAGTGTCGCTCCTTCCTCTTGTCTATGGATCGACACAAATGGGAACACTTTGAACTCCGCGGAGGAGTCGACCAAGAGGTATGAAGTGTGTCCTGTTGGAGGTGGGATGAGTTCCGCCTTACCGGAAAGAAATGAAACGAACGTAAGCAATGAACATATGACGAGAACTGAAGAAATACTGCCGTTTGAGCATGAAGGACGTACGGCGCCCGTGTGGAACGGGGT